GCCACATAAACCAGAGACTTCATCAGCCTGAGACCAGAAGAACTAGATGGTGCCCGGCTACCACCAATGACCACTCTGACAGGGAATACAACAGAGAGTCCCGGATGGAGCAGGAGAAAGGTGGGGTGCAGAACTCAAATTCTAGTAAAAAGACCAGACTTAGTGGTCTGACTGAGACTGGAGGAATGCCGGAAAGCATGGCCCCTGGACTCTCGGTCAGCCCAGAACTAAAACAATTTCCAAGGCCAACTCTTCAGACAAAGATTGGACTGGACTGTGGGATATAAAATGACACTCATGAAGAGTGTGTTTCTCAGCCCAAGAAGATATATGAGACTAAATGGGCAGCTTCTGTCCGGAGGTGAGATGAGAAGGCAGAGAGGGTTAGGAGCTGGTTGAATGGACATTGGAAATCAGGGGCAGAAGGGAGGAGTGTGCTGTCACAGTATAGGGAGAGCAATTAGGGTCACATAACAATGTATGTATAAATTTTTATATGAGAGACTAACTTGAAATGTAAACTTTCACTTAAACTACAACAATAAACAAAAATAAATAAATAAAAGCTGCATGTGCACCAAGTTAAAAAAAAAAAAAGAAGTATACGCAAATTTGGAAATTAACGTAAGTTTAAAGGTATCATCATGATGAATTTAAAGAGTGCACTTATTAGTCAAAGGAATTATAATCAGCAGGAAACTATATGAATTTAACAAGACAAAGCCTATGGCCTCCTTACCTGCTGCATGACTTGTTCTGGGTACCATCTCCACATCATCTTCTGCAAAATAATCTCTGTGGAGAGAAACACATCATTAACGAGATACCAGTCCAAGCTCTGGGGTGACAGTATCTTTTAAGGTAACAACAGCCTCTTCCAGCCAGACACCTTTATTCTGTTTTCATGTATTTCTCCACTTCACAAATATTTACTAAGCTCCTACTGTGTGTCAGGGACAGTGTTAAGTGCTGAGGATACAAAGGCAAACACCACAGGAAGGATCTCCTCCTCAAGAAGCACGTAGACTGTAGTGACAACCACTAGACAAGTAATTTCACAAGTATTTAATTAGATTTGTGGTGACTTAACTAACACAAGGACTCAGGGAAACTCTGAGAAAGGTTCACTTAAATCAAGATGGGAAGAATGTCAACCAGATGAAGAATGGAAGTAGAAGAGTATTCCACCCTGAGGGAACAGCAAAGACCCTATGTCAGGAAGGAAGTTGGCTTGTTGTTAGAGGAACAGAGAAGACCAGTGTTGCAATCAGAACTTGAAAGGGATACTGAGTTTATGCAAAGGGCAATGGGAAGCCAACACAGGATTTTAAATGAGGGAATTAATGGTAAATGCCAGATTTATATTTTAGATAAATTATCTGGCAGCTAAAGGGAGAGAGCATGGAGGGGGTAAAAGTGGTTGCTGAAAGTCTAAACTCCAAGCAAGAAGCTATGCTGGCTGTAATAACACAGAAGACTATAGAGATGGAAGGAGGCATAAAATTCAAGATAATGTTTAAAAAGAAGAATTGACACAGAAAACTAGAAAAATGGCAAAGTCCATTTAATGGACTGTCAGTAGCAAGAGGCATATCCGCCCAGCAAGTTTGCCTCACAGTGAACACCACTATCCCCAGGACAAAGAGGAAAAGAATCTCCAACTTTATTCAACAAATACTTGTCTAGCATCTAGTTTGTTTTAAGGCACTATTTTATGCTTCAGGAATGCAGCAATGAATAAAACAGAAAAAACTCCCCTCAGCTACGGACTTTACATTCTAGTGAGGGGAGACAAACAAGTAAAATGTAGAGTATCAGTTGGGGACAAGTGCTATAAAAAATTGGTGAAAGTAGGGAATGGGGCCAGGGAGTGCTGGAGGTAGAAGGAGGGAGAGAGGATTGTGATTTTGAGTACAGAAGGCCTCTTTAGAAGCAATGAGTAGCCATGGGGGTATCTGGAGGAAAGGGTCTTATAAGCAGAGAATAACAAATGCAAAGGCCCTTAGTAGGAGCATACTAATTGTTTGTGGAAAGGCAAGCAGGTCAATGTGGCTGGGCAGGGTGAGCAAGGGGTGAGTAGTAGGAGGTTAGGTCAGGTAAGTAATGGGAGGGTTGGGTAGCAGTCAGATTATAAAGAGCCTTTCAAGACCCTTCATCCTTTGAGAAGCATTTGGCCACTGGGGGTTTGTGAGCCAAAACGAGGCACGGACTGAGTGACTAATGCTTTAAAAGGGCTAGCTAATATTTTGACAGCAGACGGTTGAGTGGTGGAGGTAGAAACAGAGATGATCACAATAACTGTACACAGAGATGCCTTCCACCTTCAGCTTCTTTTTTTAAACCCTTGGGTACTCCCAGTTATCATTAAGAATTCTGTAGACACAGATTTAGCCAGAAGAAGATATTCACGAGGAGGTGGAGGAGTGACTGGCATTTGTTTAGTAATACAGGATGTCCTTTCTTCCCTGTCTCAGGGCTGGATCTTCACTTGAAGTCCCAGATGGACATAAAGGTACCAGACAGGGCACACTGGACTACACACACCATATGGCAATTCCTTATTACTAAAAGCAGGTCACTAGCCTGAGGTTCTCCCAGGCCCTTTGCCTCTTTCCCTTCTCCACTAATGGTGTTTTGCTCATTTCACTTTCATTTAAAAACTTCCCCTGAGAGTAAGAAATGCAGAGAGATGAATGTACTATTCATGGACCCCCTCTGTTGAGGTAAAGTAATGGGAGGATGTTGAAACTATCAACCAGAACAATGTCTTGAAACATCTGTGGGGAAAACACTTACACTCAGCTGCTATTATTCACTCATTGGATGGATTCCATTAGGCTCGGCCACAGACAAAGATCCTAACTGCGTATGTTCCGGCAGGAGTAAGGTCATCCCTCGGGCCAAATTCAGCCCATCCAATATATTTTATTTGGTCCACATAAGGTTGACCCATTTCTAATTTGTCTTGGAAAATGAGTGGATCTAGCAACACTGGGTAATCTGCCTGCTTTAAACACAACAACAAGCATGTATTCTCCAGTTTGCCATGGTCCCTGCCACTCCTGTCTCAAGTCTCAGCTCACTCACTCATTTATGACATCAGTGGTGTCACTAAGAGGGTATCGGGGGTGCAGACCGCACCGAGTGACACCGTCAGAGGGAGTGACACCAAAATGACTGTCTATAAAAATTTTTGTGCAGTGTTTCAGCAGAAATTTATTATTTTTTATAAAAATATCCCTGTTTTGCGACTCCGGCAAGATGGCGGTCTAGGCAGAAGCACCACGCC